ATTAGGATACATTAATATATATATAAAACATATATATATAAATATTTTCAAAACTTGAAAAGATTCAAATGAAAAAGGTTTACCCCATGGCAATGTGCCAACAAATTCTAGTAATATATGAAATGAGGCCTTACGAGCTCTTGGTTTTAATGATGGCTTTGAAGCTTTTATTTGGAGTATTTAGATAGTGGTTATAATATGTTTGGTTGTTACGGTTGCTCTGGAAGTTAAAAAAAAGTGCATTTAGATACCAAAATAAGTAATATTTTTGAAAAATTCACATTTCTGAAAATTAAATCCATGATTTTAGTTTTGCATGGGACAGTTTTATTTGAAAATTTATTACATTTCAAATATGAATTAGACTTTTACTATTAGCTTTGTCCTTTTATCGAACTTTGAGGAAGCAAAGAAGTTCTTAAATGAGTGTACCAAAATGCAACAACAATATGGAGTCTATTTAACTAATATGGGTTGATTTTACGAAGCCTAACTTGCAAATAGATGAACTTGTATGTCACCTTTTAGTTGCTATTTTCAATGACCGTAAGCTTTCTAAAATTGCATAGGAGAGAATTTTGCATTCAGCACTAGTAAATAAGCTGATCAAGTGTCTTCTAAGATTGCAACTTGATGTGAACTGTGACTTCAGCTTATGAGTGAATTTTAGCATTCAACATGTTTAATTGTTTGCATTTTGTAGACTTGCATCAACTTGTTCTGTAAAATTTATGTTCAATTGTGAATATGTAGATATGATGGAACATTGAAGAAGATGAAAGGAGATTGTTTTCTCTCAACTAAATTTAATTGCATAATGATTCCCTTTATTTGCATTTTATAATCTCTATTTCAGCCTGCAAAGTGGTCCTTCAGCTCACATACAGTTTTGAAGAACAGTGAGCAGGCACCGACGTATGTTTCTTTCGAAATTGTTCTTTCTCACTTTTTGCATCCTAGCTTTTCTTTTTCAACATTAGCATTATCTGTACTTGGAAAATGGGATATTTTGTTTGTATCTCTCTTCATCTTGTGGGTTTTCTGCAATGTTAGCAGTTTAATCTAAAGTCTATGTGATATTTGAATGTTCAAGTAGCTATTTCGGAAAATCTCAACATCTTTTGTTTCCTTTTCTGCTTGATAATTGTGGCATTTTTAGGTTGCATTGACTGTGTTTCATTCTATTTATAGAGCTCCTGTCTTTACTGAAGAAATTCTTGCTGGTGAGAATGGAGAAGGTGAAGTTGTGCAGCCACCTGAAAGGTCTTTTTGGGCTAAATATGTGAGTAGTCAAATTGGTATAAGCTAAGATTTTGTAAACCTTTAATTTGTCTTTAGTCTGATGATCGAATCTATGCATATCAGTGCATGTATTTGATCCCTCTGGGACTCATCGTCATGAATGTGTAGTAACACAAGCAATGAATATGCCTGAGGAACAGGCTACTGGCCAAGTAGCTGCACAAGGACAGCCCTCAGCTGGAGGGGTGCAGCATGGGCCTAGTTCTTCTGCGCGAAGAAGATGATGATTTATGAGTTCACTAATGGCGATAGAGTTGAGATTGATCTCTGCTAGGGTTTCTTCAGTTGCATGAAGATCATTATGGATGTCGTATACTTTCGAATCTCAATGCTTTTCTGGTAACTCAAGTCATGAAATGAGGAAGATCCGTAAAGCGATCATTTGAGGAAATTCTCGACTACCACCATGAATAACCCTGCATATGCTTTTTTCCTTTTCCCCCTCAAATCATAATTATTATTTGATAATCCCACTGAATCATGTCGTCTGTTTTAGCCTTGAGGGATATTGCAACATTTAGTATTTGATTTTTTTTTTTTGGTAACCTAATGATGTAACAGTTAAAAGGAAAAACTGTGAATCCATGATGCGGAAGGTTACTATGTGAAATATATTAGCATGGAAATGCATGAAATGTAAAAAGGAAAAAGGTAAAAGTTTTATCCAATTTTTTAATAATTGGACCGAAGCTCGAACCCATTGGATGCTTGATTTCCGATTCCATCGTTTAAATCATTTTTAATTAATTCCATAAAAATATTTGGTACAAGCTATTAAAAAAAAAAAAAAAAACTCACTCGTTCATTCGTATTAAGCACGGATTTGATACAAGCCATTCATAAAAGTAAATAAAATTTTAGAATTAAGTTAAATTTTGATACGCTATTATTATTTAATATTTAATTTTATAATTGTACTTAAATTTTATTAATTTTGTCAATGTATTAAAAGTTTTTTGATTTCTTCGACAAAATGTCATGACAAAAAAAAAAAATATATATATATATATATAATAAAAATAAACAAACTAAAATATAATAAAAAATTAAATAATAAATTATAGTACAATGAGATAAAGAGCGTCTATTCGAATTTTTTTTACTCTTCACACCTTTTTTTTAATTTTTAAAAATAAAATTATTTAATTACTTTCTTTTTACTTTACACTCTTTTTATTTTTGGGATTTCTAAATGCATTTCAATTTTTACTTTTCACACCTCATTTTTAAATTTTTTTTTATAAATAAAATTATTTAATTACAAAATTTCACAAGTTTTTAATTATCGATATCCAATAAATTTTGTAATTTTTCATAAATAAAGTTATAAAATTTATCAGAAATAAATTTTCTGAAAATTACCTAACAATAAAATTTTTAAGAAAAATTATGAAAAAAATATTATTAAAAATTTTTACTAATTGATGTAAAGAAAAAAATTATTATTGATAAGAATAATAAATTTTAAAGTTAATAAAAAAAGTTAATTTTATTATTTTAACGAAAGAATAAAATTTTAAGTACTACTATTTGCACCTCAGTTTCTTTTCAATGAATCCCGCCCAATTGTTTACTCAACATACTCCAAATCCCAAATATAAATTTATAGAAAACCTAAACATCCCACTTCCCTTTCTCTTACAACCCATCTTTTTTTTTTTTTCAACGGAAAACTTAAAGTATTTTAAGCTCAAATCAAGCTAAATTCAAAGAAATTTTCATCAATTTGATATTAAAAAATATAAAATTAAAAGCAAATTGTTTACTCTTGCTATTTTTTTGTTTGATTTCATATTTAATTTTGTAAAATTTCATATTAAAATGTTTGGGTGTGATTAAAAATTTTCGAAAATCCAATGTTTATTCAAATAGATATTAGAAAGCTTTTAAGAGTTTTCATAAATGAATTTTTAAAATAGATGTGAAAGATAAAAAAGTAATAAAGTAATGAGTATTTAAGTAATTTTATTAAAAGTTAAAATTTTAAGATGTATTGATAAGAAATCGAGGTGCAAATAATAGTACTCCAAGATTTTAATTAAATATTTTATTTATTAATATTAAAAATGATGATGAAAGAATTTTTAGATCTGATCAACATCTAAAAGTTAAAATTTTTGAAGTTATATAAATAATATTATTGACTATTACATATTTTTATCAAAATCTAATATGCTAATTAAAAAACTCTTCTAATAAGTGAATATAGAGTTTTCTCTAAAAATTTTAGTTTAATTAGAATTATTATAAAATTTTAATAATCAGTATCAAGAAAATTTATTTATTATTAAAGAAAAGATAAATTTTAAATTTATAAAAAATTGCATTTACTAATTTATTCTTAGTTTAATTAGAATATTATAAGATTTTATTCTTTTCTAAGATCAAAATAATAAAATTCAAAAATTTTAATTAATTTTAAAATTTATGATTTTTTAATAATAATTTTTTATTACACCAACTAATAAAATTTTTTAATAAAATTCTTTTTTTATAATTTTTAAAACAATTTTATGTAATGTTTAATTTCAAAAAATAAAGTCATTTTTTGTTTTTATTTTTTTGGAAAATGAAAAACATGATTAAAAACGAGTTTGGTAATTAAAAATGAAAATAAATTTTAAGAAAAAAAAGGATTAAAATATGAACAAAACAAAATATGTTTTTGATTATAAAAATAAATGATTAGACGTGTTCATAAATTGGATGACGCTTATAATTGGTATTAATAGTTTATATATTTGTTTAGATTTTGTTCGATCCAATATTTGGAGTCTTAAAATTTTTTTCAATTCGTCCAAATTAAAAAAATAAATTTCAACCCACTTATTAAACTTAATATATATAATAAAAAATTAAAAATTCACATATATATACTTATATAATTGTAATATTTTAATTATATATAATTTATTATAACTGGACTAGACTGAACTCAAGTTTTAATTCATTTGCCCAGAATTCGACTTAAAATTTAAATAAATATAAAAATTATGCATAAACCAGTTTAACATGCTTTAATTTTTATTCAAATCATTTTAAAATTTGGACAAACCTTTAGGCTTAGACATTTAGTTTGATCTTTAAATAAATCTACAAAGAACATACATTGCTTTGTTTTTTTTTTTTTTTTATATTTTACAAGTTATCATATTTAAAATTATTTTAATATTATTAATTAATAAATTATATATTATATTTATAATTACATGTCATTAATAATAAGAGTTAATATTTGATATATTATTAGTATAAATTTTTAATTGCACAAACAAAATTAGTAGAGTGACATATATCTAATATATTTAAAAAATAAAAAATTAATTAAAAATTTATACTGATAATGTATCAAATATTAAATTTTTATACTAATATTATTAAATATTTTATTTATTTTCTTATTTTACATTTAAAAAAATAATTTTTCTTTTTGTTTATCAAATATAGATTTTAAAAGCCAAAAACTAAAAAACAAAAATAAAACAAAAATATTTTGCCAAACCATTCAGAATTTACTCTCGACAAATAAACTTTTGGGACTTACTAAACTCCGGAAAGCTATTTTTGGTAAATTATAATTTTATAAAAATTTATTTTCGAATTTTCTGGAATCACACGTGTCCAATTTTCCAAATTAGGAATCTCTAAGTGCTTTCCACTTGTCCCATCTAATTGACCCTTCAAGCTCTGCTATTTATTTACATACAAATCCCCAATTCTAAAACTCCAAACCCTAACACAACCTGAAAAACTCTTTAACAGCAAAATCGGCGGAGAAAATGTTGAGGCTGGCGTCGAAGAGGCTGCTTGGGCAAGCGGCACGGGAGGTCCCATCCGGGCCCGTTCAGATTCTGTCCCGTCTTTACCACAAGAATGTCATCGACCACTACAATAATCCTCGTAACGTCGGGTCTTTCGATAAGAACGACCCAAACGTTGGCACGGGCTTGGTCGGGGCTCCGGCTTGTGGCGATGTTATGAAGCTGCAAATCAAAATCGACGAGGAGTCAGGAAAAATCATCGATGCTTGCTTTAAAACCTTCGGCTGTGGGTCAGCGATTGCATCTTCTTCTGTTGGTACGCAACCCTCCCTTTTTTAACTTCTGGTTATTGAGATTTATAGTATAATTTTTTAATTGAAGCTGTAAAATTTATTTATTTGATCTTTTTCCTATTAAAGTTTAATTCCAAATCCAAAAATTTTGATTCCAAATTTAAAATTTCAAATTCGACGTAATATAATTATTTTTATTTCAGTGGGAAATTCAAAAACAAAGTCCAAAAGAAAGCAGGGATTGGTGTCTTTTTTTTTTTTTTTTTGTTTTCCATCCAAACAATGAAAAAAAGTCCGTTTTGCAAACAAAAGCAAATAATTATATTAAATACTTCAACTAAAATTTTTTTTTATGAAGAAGATGCATGATTTTACTCTAATATAGAACAATTATGCTAAATTATTGTATCATGTAGTTAATTTTAGGAAGCAGAAAAGGAGATTAGCAAAAACCAACAAAATTAACTGTCTATTTGTTTGTGAATGTTCTGAAAGGCCTAATCTGTTATATGAATGTTATTCAGTATTTTGTACTTATGAATTTATTTGCAATGGCCTTCGATTTTTTCGGAGGAGCTATGTAGTAACTTGGGTTTGTTCTTGTTGCAGCTACTGAATGGGTGAAAGGGAAAAGCATGGACGAGGTGCTTACCATTAAAAACACGTAAGCATTACTCCCCTATCTCAAAGTTAATTTATATATATATGAATCGGAGTCATATCTTTTCCAATGATACTTTGTGGTAGTCCTGTTGGTTCATTTGCTTATCTGATTGCATGCTTTTATGTGGCTTTGATATCTGATCTTTTAACTAGTTAAGTGGAATTTGCTAATTATGTAATTAATTTATTTGTACTTTCTGTTCTTAGTTTTCTCCTTTAATTCAAACTTTGTAGTTGAAATTTAGAATTTTAATATGTCTGTGGAAAGATCATCTTCTTTCTCCCATGCTTTTAACATCCTTTCTAACAATTTTTTAGCTGCTCTTTCATTTAGTCATATTCTGCATCTGGTAAAGGATGGCATTAATTACTTGCAGCTATGGACAAAATTTTGATTTTGCTTGTTAACTGCTTTTTTTATTTTAGTTGTTCTAGAATATTCTCTATCTTCTTTGTGTAGATGTTGAAGTTTTAGTTTTTATATTGTTGTACTTTGTATTATGGCCTAATAATGGCTATCAATTCATAGAAGACAGTGTCTGGTCAAATAAGGTTGACCTGAGGATCAAGCCTGTCTAACATTATGTATTGAGTAGTTTATGATTACTTTAAGTTTCAGAGTATGATTTTAAGTATCTACAGAATCAATATAAAGTACAATTATGGAGATATAAAAGGCCAAGAGAAGAAAATATTTTGTGTGATTGTGTTTTTTTTTTTGGTTGCAATATATGTATGGTGTAAGTTGTAATTATTTGATTGCAATCAATTGTAATCATGCTGGACTGCAAATGTGAGTCTTTTATTGTGTTTTTACTAACATAAATATTGCAGGGAGATTGCAAAACATTTATCACTTCCACCAGTGAAGCTGCACTGCAGTATGCTTGCAGAAGATGCTATCAAGGCAGCTGTAAGAGATGTAGAGACTAAACGTGCCAAGTTGAATGGAACTTCAAATGCTGCGCCTATTGAGAAGGCTGCTGATGCATGATGTCTCTGTATATGCTGACGAAAAAAGTCTGGAGACCTGGTAAACAAAGACCCATCATTGTGTACAATTGGTAAATAAAGACAAAATGGACACAGTGAAACTCTAAAGTACCGTAAGTAGGACACATGTAATATTTACTTTTCAAGAAAGGATGTCTGGTCAATGGTAAAACTATATGAGAATAAAGCATTGGGTAAATCCAGATACATACAATCATTGTAATGTTCAGTGTTTAAGGTAGAGTCTACCCTGCTTGCACTTCCTTTCAAGTTTGATGTTATGAAATTTACAATTTTTCTTTCTTTTGAAACTCCTGAGAATTTTGGATCAAAATTTGTTTGCCTTTGTAAACATTGTGGAATCACCTTTGCTGTGTGTGGACTTAGCTGTTATCAATCTTCTTTTGGATAAGTGGACTTAGCTGTTATTATGCTTGAACATGCTTCTGCTTCTTGTTGGTTCCGAACTAAAAGTAAATACCGCAATCGACTCTAAGGTTGCATTTCTGCATATGTAGTGATGCCGGGGGAGACTGTTTTGTGGCTGTTATTTTAATAGATAGTTTGAAGGTAACAGATGCAGTAGCCATGCCAAAGGCAAATTTGATTTTAGATCTGCCTCAGAATAGGTAAGCAGAAGGTCCACGAGGTTTTGAATCAAACTTACAACACGGTTGATTTCCACCATGATGGAGTTGATTTAGAGTTCTGGACTATATGAATGCCAGTGTTTTGATAATAACAGGCCATATAAAAGGTTTCAGATTTGAAAAAAAAAAAAATGCATTTGCTACCTACTAGTTTGGGTGCATGTCTGCCTCGAGGCGCGCATGCATGAGGTGAGGTTCTTAGAAAGTGAACTCACAAACACGAGGTTCATGGGGCCCAAGAAGAGCTTGGCAATTCGATTGTACTTGAACCTCTTGCAGTTTCATGTGCTATATGATAGTAAAAGAGCAGTCACATTCATATTTTTTTATTCACATTTACCAGTTATGCTAATGAAATTCCCCAAGATTCTGAAAAATAGAGATGGCCTATAATGAGCTTTCACTGGATTTTTAGGCTAGACGGGATGTGAACAGCATAAAAGACAAGTTCATGGATAACAGGTTGTGTGGAAGATGATATTGGAATGGAAAATCCATCGCAAATGTTGTCGAATAGGCAAGCTTTTGTAGTACAAGAAGTATGTTTGCTAAACCTGTAGAAAACAGAACAATTACGCGAATAGTGATATTCTCAACTAGATTGAGTGTCGATATCAACAACAGTCCTAGCCACAATAGTGCCCTATTGATGTCAATCTCAATTTTTGAGACCCAACTTATATATGAGCATAAAAATCCTTATAAATAAACTAACACTTATGGCAACCATATGATAATCAATAAGACATTTTTTAAAATACGGGATTTAGTCTAAATAATTTACTCACTTTCTTTAAGAAGTAGATTTTATTGAGATTGAAATTTCATCTCTAACACTGACAAATTTCTTTAAACCTAAACCCTACCAGAAAATATAACATTCTTTATCTGAGTTTGAGATAAACAACTGGAAGTAGAGGTTAACCAGATTCAAATTAAACCAAAACCTTAAAAATCATGTGATCAAATTACTTTTCTCCTATCCTCCATGAAACCCCAAGAAAGCATCTTCTCCTGCAATATGCACGGGAAACTGCCTTGTTACTCATTACACAATTCAACTTTAACTTGCCATGCCAAGCATATGTTTGCTGGTTCATAGCCAAACAATAATTACACTTACTAAAGGAAAAGGTTTCATTCTTACCAAAAAAGAAACCAAACAAAAATATGGGTTGTGAGAGGACAATTACCTTTCATTTTGATAATTAGGGTCCAAATATTTTCATATGTAACCAGAAAAAATTATGCTATTTATAATTTTAAAAATTTATACGTAATCGATGAGTATTTTATATTTGATATTTCATTCAATATATTAGATTTATATTGATACCGGTACATATCACGTATTAATACCAAAACAAAAACGATGTCAAATACGGTACCACCCTACCAACGACTTTGGTTGCACCTAAAATCCTTTAATTGATTCCCATCTTTACCATTGATGCAGGGTTTATAATTAAAAAAAAAAAACAAAAATAAGCAAAAATAAAAACCTACCACTATAATGTTATCTAGCCATTGGATTAAAAAAAAAGGGCATAAATAAAAGAATAAAAAGAAATGACAAAGATCAACCAAGGCCAAATGGATTGATCAGGGCTATCAAGTTTATGACATGGAACAGTTCGTTAACATATAGCAGTCAGTTGTTTTGTCAAACGAGAGACCTAAAAAATGCCTTGCTAACCATACAAGTAGAAGATCAGTACATATATCTTGCTTCTCACTTCTCGTTAACATTTACGAGCCCCCCACTCTTACCCCGTTCTTCTGCAATGAAGCAAGAGATGTTGTATAAATAGGAAATAAAGATACAGAGAAGCCCGACACAAACAATAACTCCTACCGTAAAGCACAATATATAGACGGAAAAGGCATGACGAAGAGATTCACATTTCTTATAACCATATAATCATGTAATAAATTTCCAGGAAGCTAACAAATTAAGAACTTATTGATCATTTCCAACACCAAGAATCCACTGAGCAAGATGCGTCAAATATGGTTCTGCTTGGGAACTGCTGCTCAAAATTGGTCTCAGACTCTGAAGCTCAGAACTAAATTCCTTCTCAAATTTACTGCAATATATTAGTTAAAATTAGAGTACTGAGAGAAAGAGGGAGAGGTAATTGTAGCCATTCTCCACACTTACAGAATAGAATCAGTGACTGATGAGTTTCTAGTCATGACATTTTGCGCCTGAGATGGGTTCCTTGATTTCCGCTGCTTCGACTTCTCTGAGCCAACTGAACCATCAGGCTGCTCCTCTAACTTGGCAATGTCAACAGAGGATGAAATTAACCATTGTGTTGCTGCTGCATATTGTAGGCACAAAGATTTCAACTTCTCCACTTTCTACATTAGAAAAGAAAAAAACATATTAAGAAAAAGATACAAAGAAGAATCATGATAAATGAATTTCCTCCAATCAATCTCGTGTATTCATGGGCTAATGCAACTTCTAAGCCTCTTTCAAACTTCACTTCCAATATCAGTTTTTCACGTCGAAATTTGAAATCTACCATTTTTTTATTTGATTCTAATATAACTCTAAATACCATTTTGGTTTACCTAACAGTATTGAACTAGTACGTCCAATTTATTAAAATCTTTGTACCAAAAATATTGATAAATGGTAAGCAACAACCTTTATCAATTCAGGCAAAAGAAGCAGACATTCTCTCAGACACTTATCAAGGAAAAAATCATGATGCCGGATAACCTGTTACAAAAAGAAGAATGTTCAAACATAACTAGAGGCACTAGTTTATCACAAAAAATACATATTTTATATGCAAAACAGATATGCAGCATATTGGAGTCTCATTAGGATCACACCTCATCTATGCTTTTTGCAGTCTGAAGTCTACCATGCATCACATGCCAATTGGGTTCAAGAACCTGAAAAAAAGGATATCAAGAACATCACCCAAAAAACCAAGCCTACTAATTGAGCATCTTAGAGAAAGTTTTATAGTTTCTTCCTCTTGTCCTTTTTTGTGCCTTTTCTCGGCAAACTAAGAGTTAAATTCCAAAGTGCTTCACTTTGCTAGTGGCCTTAACTAACATGCATGCAGATTTTTTTCAAAGTAAATAAAAACTGAGGTTCATTTATGCACCAAAACTGAAGTAAAATGGAATGGAAATACAAAATAGCAACGAGAATGTGTCATATCAGACTCATCTATTTCCATGAGCTTTTCCATGTAAACCTTACAAAAGTATTAAGAGAAAACATGGTGAAAAGGATACAAAGGAACCTACCTCAAATGTTAGATAATGCAAAAGACTGTTAATAAATCTCAGCATGCTACGACAGAGGAGAGATGATCTAGAGATGGCAGTTCCACGAGTATTAAGAGCACGAACTCCCTGCCAAATTTTGTTGCAGTTAAAGACTACAAAGAAAACAGGTAAAAACTCACCAGACTACATCAATAAGTTCAAGTCCATACTTGATGCATTTGCCAAGCCCCACAAAGTTGGCGTTCCACATGCTTACAGTGAAAAAGGAAGCGGAAAATCAACTGGTATTTTGTTAAGGCTTTTCTTGATATAACAATTGACAGTGGCCACTGAATCTGAAAACAGATAAAAATATTGTGAGGAGAAGGATGAAAATCCATGGTCACACCATGGAATAATGTAAAAGTGAGAGCACCAATGGATTACAAATAAGCAACTTCTACTCAAAATAAACCATCAAGCAAGTATAAGAAAACTACTAGGGCAGAGCACTATTAGGTCAAAACCAGAGAGAAACAGCTTGTTTGGTTTGGTTTTGACGGTTAATAATTTCATTTTAGTTAGAAAACCAAACTGAATTAATAATTTGATATCAGTTTGGTTTTCAAATATTTTGAAAGCAAAGCAAACCAAAAACTGAATTAAGAATAATATTTATATGCATATAAATATTTCAACATATATATCTGATGAAAAAGATGTTTATTTTACTTAAATGGTATGTAAGTTTTACTTTAAGGTTTCTTGTTAAAAGTTGCTTAGTACACTTTATTTCATGCAAATGTTGCAAATCCTATTTAGTATGTACTACAATTTGTTGTGTGTTAAAATGCTGTATATGGATTAATATATTTTTATGATGCCACGAACCCAGTTCTTTGTAGCATATTTAGGCTTCGCTCGGTGCACAACTCCAGTGCAGTGGGAATTCATTCTCACCGCACTGGAGCCACGTTTGTCCCTAAAATGGCACTGGACATTTTGGGGCCAAACGTGGCTTCAGTGCAATGAGAATGAATTCCCACCACATTGAAGCCATTCACCGAATGAGCACTTCAGTCTTGTTTTGTATTTTAATTTAATTATTTATATTTGACTTGAATTAAGAACCTCTTTTAAATTTTAATTGATTTGAATGTTAAAATTGTTAAAAAAAATTGGCTTATTTGGTCAAAACCAAATGCGAAACCAAAGCAAACAGAATTATTTCAATTTGATTTAATTTGGTTTGATTTCAAAAATTTAGAAACCAGAATTCTTGGTTTGGTCTTGATTTACCCTTGAACCATGCTCACCCCTAGAAACTACCACCCAAATCATGTAATTCTTACAACTGACTACTATTTTACCTTGATAAAGAAGGTTAAACACAGTCCAGAAAATATTAGAGGGACCAATAATAATTTTAATAAAACATGTAAACCTTACAGAAATCACATTATTCAAGAGACTCACCAATGAAGGCTATACTCCTGCAAGTAGGTTTTTTAATTAACTTGTAAACTGTAATTTGAAGATTCCATCAAGAACACAAGTTGTATAAGTTGTATACTAACTACAACAAAAGAATGCATACCTTATAGCTCAAGGAAAATGTCTCAAGACCAGTGATGCTTATTAACTCCTCTAGATCATGATTGTCAGATACCTTCCTGATGTCAAGATCCTTCAGTCTGCTTAATCCTTTGAGAACTGAAGATCTCTCCTGGGAGTCAAAAACATAAAATATTATATAATCTAGATCCAATCCAAAGTTTTCCCTGACACAGAAATGAGGAAGAGAGGAATCACTTACCACACAACATGTTAAGTCCTCATGACAAGGATCTGCAGCAGCAGCTGTGGTACGCAAAGCAAGATCCAGCAGAGACTACATTTAAAAAAAAAGGTTAAAGAAAAATAATTTACATATCTCAAACGGCCTGCCTTTTTAATAATATTTATTTTGCAGTTTTTCTTTGTAAACTCTAGTTAGTAGATGCAGAAGTCTTGCCATATGCACCTTATATGGCATGCAATAAAAAAAGAGGGGGAAAGGAGAATAAACCTGCAATTTCTCCACAGAAATCTCATCATGCTTTTTCAAGAGCTCCTCTCGAGCTATATCCATAAAATGAACCAAGAAATCACCCTGCAATTGGATAGCACTTGAATTAGAATGACTACATAAATCATTACCAAAACATATGTCTATCATACATATGTACAATCTTGATCTAAAAGTCGGACAGGAATAGGATCTTGATCTACAATACAGAAATCAGCAGAGTATTAGTTTTATATTCATGATCCTATTATTTTCCATAATGTAATGCTGTGTTTGCATATAATCATTTTATGAAAGAATTCAAATTGGAAAATAACTTTAATCTAGAAAGCCAATTACCTTCTTTGACTAAAACATAGAAAAGATTTTCCAAATGCTTGAGGATTTTAAGCAGGTATTTGGTAGGAAGGACAGAAAGGGGAAAGGATTGTAGACATTGTTAATCCAATGATTAGTTTTGATAACCACTTTTCTACCTGGTAGCTTAATCATTGGATTAACAATTTTCCATCTTTCTTAACAAGCAAAGCCTCGAGGTAATAAAAGCTGAACCAACCTGAAAGATCTGCATAACCCGCACAAACCTCATCCATGCTGATTAGAAAAGTTAAACCAAGCTCAGACCAACCCTATTCCTAAGCAAACCAGACCTGACTTAACCCCAACACCTACCCAAAATGACTAGAAACTGAAATTGAGCATAATGCATATTCTTTTCTCAATTTGAATTTCAATTTACTTTAAAAACTATAAACATAAAACAATTATAGAAATAACCTAAACTCACTAGATTAGAATTAATTCAAAAAAGTGAAAGACCAAACTTGAATAATTTGAAACCAAAATTGATCTAAACTTGAAATGACCCATACCTTAAGTGACCCAAACTGAAGTGATCCAAAATTTCAAAACCCAAACTCACCAGGACTCACTCACCCAATTTCACCCCACTTGATCTCCATCCTTTTCCACTACATTTCCAACATGTATAATGGCAGAACTACTTGTGCAACAATGGCAATATCTTTGAATATTTCTATGTTAAATTTCTATTATCTCTACTGTTTCAATCTAAACCGGTCTCTTCTACCATTTTTTTTCTCTTTTCACAGAAAGAGATGATGATTCATGCCTTAAATCTACCAATTTCATTATCCAAATGGCCCAAATGCAACCCAACCCGCCCAATTGCCACCCCTACTAGCTTTCCCTCTCTATTTTCCCCTCCATATCCAGCAACATTGTAGTGACAAAACATTATACAACAGTCTGTCAGTATTTCTGTGTTTTTTTTCCTATTATCGCTCCTCTTTGAATCCAAACCAGTCTCTTCTACCAATGTTTCCTCTTTCCACATGTTTCACTGCATAATTTTCATTCCCTTCATTTCAAAAATCTGAGAAATTTGAAATATCTCATCCAAAAAGGGGTAAAGGAATTAAAGCTACTGCTCCATCAAGTTTCCATTGTGCTTGCAGTGAATGATGTATCTCATACCAAGGCAATGTTATTCATAAATTACAACATTCTGCTACTTTTGAATGCTCTAACTTCCAGTTTACTTTCATTTCCTTTATGCAAGCGGTTGCCTTTCTTCTTTTTTTTTTTTTTCGTTCATAGAGATCATGCTCTTCACCTAATCTTTTGCTATTTTAGTTTTGGGAACTTCTAGGAACTTTCTCATCACCAATCATTTGTTATCTCTTTACAATTAATTGTGTCCCTTATAGCATTAGCATCTTCAATTTATGCATCCAACTTTCTTACAGTATTTATCCATTTATTTCTTTTAGTATCATTTAATTACTAATTTTGGGATAAAACTTTTAGTTCAAAACCAATTGATTTCGAAATTTATTTTAATTATAATCAAATCATATATCAAATATAGAGATAGATAATACAATGGATAAAAATGCCTTTTACAGTCTCAACAATCACAGGTCCTCTCACTGACTGCACTCAGCATGTTTTCACTTAAAAGGTTTTTCTAAGAAGCCACTAGCTAAACCTGATAAAAAATTTTCAATCCTTGAAACTTCTAGTTTTTAATCCTTTATGTAGTTATCAAAACAGTACATAAATTATTAAATTCTTATCTAAGATACATAGTTGATTGAGAAATAATACCAATGAAACGATAATACTACTACTATTACTATGCAGTAAAACTACTGAAGCTTTAATGTTTGTGTTTTACAAAGCTCTTCAACTAAGTACTAATAATGTTAAAAGTTGATGATCTAGTCCTAAAAGGTCACAACATGATTCAAAATATCGATCATGCTAACATAGTAGATACACCCAAAAGCAGCTTGGCCTAGTGTGAATACTGAATTCCAAGTATGCCCCAGCATATGGGCCTGAGTGCCAATGTTTTGTGAAACTAGTCAGCATAGCACACATACATTAATCAGGAGTTGTAATGTGATCTATACAAAAGCAGTCTCTATCTAGACCAGCTCATCAGAAAAAACAGTTACAAATTGTGTACTTTTTGTATGCTGAAATAGGTAACCACATTAAAACCACGTTATACATAAATAAAGATTGATTTTCATCCCAAGTTAACAAAATATTTAACATATTTACCTGGTCAAGAAGAAGATAGTGCTTTATAGACCGCAACTTTCCTATTAGATCATACTACACCATTAAAACATACAAATCATCATTAGACAAAGTTCCAGCAAATTCTCTGAATGGAAGACAAAAATAAAATAAAATAAAAACACTTGAAAACTTAGCATGTAAGTTACTATGTAATAACAATTTATGCTCACCTTTTCTTTAATGAGATTTAAGAGCTCACCACTGGAAAATTCATAAGCAGCTTTTACACACTCAAGATATTGATGGTTGGATCCAAAAGTCATTAGTTTAGAATTTTCAGACATAGGGACCTGCGAATAATATCCAGTCAGAGGTATGTCGTAATGCAAAAAGAGGACAAAGGAGGTTCTTGTTTAAAGAATCAAACCTGAACAGTGTACCCACATTCTCTCATGACATTCAGATATTTCCCAGTAGTCAATATTGTACCAGCAATATTTGCAAGGAAGCTAGGAATGTCATCCTTCAGACTGTAACGTTGCCTCCAATATTTAGCATCATAATCTTGAGTAAGGCTCTCCTGCAAAACCTAAAAATTATTAGCATGAAAAGCATAAATTTGAAGCACAGATATATGCGCATAGAATCAATTTACCTTTTGGAGAGACTTGTTCTCAGCTATAAAAAATTCACCATATGGATCATCAATCACTCCTTCATAGATCCACCTAAAATTGTTGGCATTTCCCCTTGATCAAAAATTCAATTATAATGCTTCATAAAACCCTCATGCAAAAAGATAAGAGTAGTATTCTCAAATTACAACTCTTCAGCAAGTAAGAAACTGAGCAAATTAATAGTATTTTCATGTTGAACGCATATTGATCAACCGAAGTAATAATCTATGATTTATCAAAAGGAAATGCATACCATACCTTTTTTTTGCTACCAGGTCACAAAAAGAGCTTCTTAATTACCTAGTCTAGGAACTATAAGCAACTTCCTTCACTCAATACACTTAACAAAATGCTCAAAATCTTTAAGCAAATGACATAGTTCTTTGATGACAAGTAAAATTGCAGTCAATTTTTTTAAGGCTAATGTTTGGATCAAAAAGAATAGATACAAAACACAGATAGAAGCGACAGGATCAAACTAAGAAACAGATTATGAAAGAAAAAGTCATGAATGCAATTTCATGTATGCAACTTCACCATCAAGGATGGAGCCTCTGCTCAAAAACAAGATACCCATCAATAAAATTATTTTTTGGAATGTTTATACATTTACTGTATAAATTCAAATTTTGAAGCTGGTTTTTTTGCCAGTACAAATTTTGCCGCTGTTTAGATCATCAATAACTTGAACTTATCCAGTAAAAAGAAACATAATGTTCTTCCAACCCTGATATTTTTTGTGAGAATTAAAACATAAAATTCATGCAATTTGCACAGTCAAGCAATACTTATCATCTATAGTGAAATGAAGACCATTTCATCACAAACTATGGGATTTTTTGCTATAACTTTAACTCATTTATATATCAAGGGAGTCAACAGAATGTAACATGGATGGTAATAAAGAAAGCTAATTATCATCTCATTCAAACACACACGTACAAACTATAAAATATGAAAGCAACTCTCTTGCTTCATCTAAGGACAAGATTTGGGTTTAGAAGAACACTACTACCCCTGCTTAACATTCATAATCTCTCTCTTAAAGCCAAGCCTTCAACCAACACAATCCCTAGCATAGATCCAGAAACTCTGAGCAGGTACCCATATTTCTTACTAAATCTGTTCAATCATTTCATTCAAACAAGCCAAGACAATCAGACCTGACACATACAAAAATTTAAGTTTTCTTCTTATTTTAGACAGTTTTTCCTAGCCCTATAAAAAATTAAAAATGAAAACTAATATGGTTAGTGGTGAAATAATTGTCTAAAGCGTTCTATATCAGTTGTTAACTCTATTAAAAAAAAAACTCTTAGAAACACATTTCTCACTCTCCAAAAATATATTTGTTGCAAAACTAGAATGAGGAATCAGATATGCTGCAAGTTTGTAGGACATTCTTAACAAACTAATAAGATAAAGTAAAAACTCTAGAAGATAACAAGCTTTTATGCACAAGCCAACAACCAAAATCAGATATACTGCAGGTATTGCGGGGGCTACCTTTCCAATATGCTAAAGTATGCATTGCTAGCAGATTGGGTCATTTTCTCTAGTAATGACCTCACTGCATTATCACCAGCCATAGCCTTAGCCTAAAAATTGGGACAAAGGAAACAAATATCAATTTCCTAAGTTGCAATGCAATAATAAATATCCATATATACATATTTTTCCTGCATAAATAAATTAACACAAACCTCTCACCTGGCTCTGCAACAGATTAAGCACTGCAGAACCTGCACAATTATTAGCTGAAGCCTTTTGTATCACATTGGACAATGCTTGCATGGACCCCATCATGGGCTGCAAACACATGGAAGAAAGCATCCTCAGTGAAACACTCGAGAAACTGAAGCATTAACAATAGAGTCAAACCTGACAATAAAACCACAATCCTTGGATGGAAAGTCTTCCGAGTCGAAATTGGTGTTCAAGCTGTGCAACCATGGCCTGATAATCCTGATCAAGAAAGTTGACATAAGGTGAGGGAAAAAAATTATGTAGAATGTCAGACAAGTGATCATGAAACTATCTAACACCTGAATCGGTCAAAATATGAAGGAATTGAATGAACATAGCAATTGCATATATATGGATGATAAGCGTAACATTAACACCTATACAAAGACTGTACTGACCAAGGAACTATAGGTTTCAGTAATAATTGACAGCAATCATAAAATACTGCAAAGGGAGTTAGAATTATCTTTATAGCCCCATTCAAATTCCAAAACCCAATTTTCCATTCACCTAATAGAACCTAAAAGATTATGCTTTTTTTCAACAATAAATCCATCATCTATTCCATCAAACAAAGCCCATCATTTATCAAACATTGTTGACATATATCAAATAAACCAGCAACCCTGCATCATGATTCCAATCACAACTTAATTGGTATATATTGATCTGCTTGAGAAAGAAAAAATTTATAGAAAATGAAAACCAAGGAACCCATATTAGACAATAATAGCCATTGCAATGAATAATAATTATTAAAGAATGGTAGAAGAACATATAGTCCTATCACTTTTTGAATAGAAAGAAATATTAATAAACAGCAATGCAATATATCTAATCAAAAGAATTGTAGCCTAAAGAACCTACCAAAAGGAGAGCCCTCAATGCAGCAGCAAAGGCATGATTGACAAGGCCATTCTTGAACTGAGATCTGGACTCTACAAACTGGTCAATCAGGAGAAAGCTCTCACATAAAGGAAATATCCGTTTTGCTAATTCCTGCAATGATGTCTCAATCAGTTAAAACTATCGTGTGAAGGCAAATAAGAAAATCACACATGATACATTTGCAACCCCTTCCGAACAATTATTAATATAGAATGAAAATAATCAAAATGGCCTGCTCTTGGATTAAAATAATCCATGGAGCTACTTTATTGATATGTTTCCAGGGGAATTTTTATTTTTTTTTAGTTCTCAGAATATAGGTTTTTTTTTCTTCAACAATCTTGTCTTTCAATCAAATGCACTTCTAGAGTCCCTAGAGAAACCCACGCCCAGGCAGGGTGCTACCAGAGGTGAATTCCTTTATGGAATTGAATCCAAAGCTACAATACATGTCTCCTTCACGGTTATTGAAGCATGATCCAAAGTGCTTAAAGTAGCATTACAGAGCACCAAGTTCTCTCAATCATCATATCAGCAAAATTCCATAGTAAAAACAATTCAGCCACAAAGGATAGCATGAACACTTGTTTGTGCCAACAGAAAAGAAATTTTCTAACCTGAAGTGCTAAATCCATAGATGCATCAACCTGGAAAGTAACAGTATCGACCTTTCCATGCACTCTTTTGATTGAAATGTACCGTCCTTCAATTCCAACCAAAGCAAATAGGAGATCATCAATGACAATAAGTTCCTACAAACCAAATTAACCAATTAATAACTACACTATTTGTAAGATCTTCACAGGTTACAACCACTTAATAGAAACAGAACAAAACCAGAAGATCAATATTTAAAGTAGAAACCACACAAAACACAATGCAGATTACCATGCATGATGAAAAATATGTTGGCAAGCAAATTTGTGTCTTTGCAAATAAAATAATTTTTAAAAAATATATAAGAAATATGCTGACATGTATATTTTTCCAAGGATTTGCAATCCCCAAGACTCATAGAATTCATCATTTTCACCCAACCCCCCGCAAACTAGAAATAACACCAGTTTAGCCAAATGATCAACTTGTATGGAGAGTGGCAAAATAAGAGCAACACTGAATTAAAGACCACAGCTCAACTCATGAGTAGCAAGTACCTAAAAATAAAATCCCAAACACCAGACACATGAGATAAACTAACAATGAATTAGATAATTCTATTGTTGGCAAAAAAATTTTAATTTGATGGTCCAAGAAAAGAATATCAGGTGGCCTGAATTTTCAAAAACGAAACTACAATTCTGAATTCCACATGAGCCAATCATACCAACAATAAGAGCACAGGAACCCTCAATCTATGACTAAAGCACAGCTCATGCATCATAGCAGCATGCACATTCAATTCTACAAATATTCAAACAAACACATTGTACTTCTTTCATTGCAAACTCGGTACTGTCTTCAATCATTAATTAGTAGAACAAAAACATAACTTTACTACTTTGTAGTTAAAAAAAATCATCCCACACCAGAAGATTTAAGTTCAAGTGAGGAATACCTGAACCGCAGCATCATAACAACCAATTGGATTTTCCAATCCAGAGCTGATTAGAGACAAAAACAAAAACATTAGACTTAGACATAGAACTAAAATAAGGAAAGCCATAAAAAATGAAATGAAAACTAAGTACCTGAACGAATCCAAAGAAAAACCCTTCGCTTCAGCTGCGAACCGAGATGTCCCTTTTATTTCCTGGAAGGACCATTAATCTACCATTAGCAACTAAAATGAAATTACATTGACAAGAACTAAACGAAACAGAAAAAAAAAATTGTTAGGTTTTTGAAAATTTGTTCCTTTTCTTCTGATTATTTCTTCGGAAAGCGGAAGGGAAAGTAGAAAGGCAAAATGGATTCAAATTTAAAATCAAAAAGAAAAGAAAAGAAAATGCGCGAAATTAGGAAATGCAGTTCGCTTTTCCCGATTGATTCTCGAGAAAGTGAGAGGGAAAACAGAACAACCTGGTGAAATCGGCCGGTGAGGAAAGGTCTGTCGAGGTTCCAGCGAGGGGTTGAAGGGCAACTTGATTCCATTTTTTTTCTTTTTCAAATGATTTGAACAAAAAATGTGCCAACTCTCTTCAACATAAAGCGGCCCAGTCTCAATTGGTTCGGGTGAATTTTACGTTGGATTTATTTAATTATATTTTGATTTATCGGTTGATTTAGTGATTTTTATACATGATTTAATTTTAATGGTAATTTTATTGTACCTATAAAATTAAAAAAAATAATAATTTTACTTTTTGTTGCTGTCAGACGTTTGATGGACAGTTCTTCTCAATTTTTCATTGGGTAAAAAGTAAAAGTTAAAAATTTTTACGCAATAGTAAAAAAGCGTCGGAATGCACAAAGCAGATTTGTTTAATGAAGATTTTAAATGATTCTCACTTTTTCTCTTAAGACTTTTTTTTTTTATTTTTTAAATAAAATTATTTAATTAATTTTTACAAGTTTTCAAATATTTATATTCAATAAATTTTATAATTTATTAAAAATAAATTTCTAAAAATTAACTTTATAAAAATTTACCTTAAGAAAGGAAGTTTAAAAAAATTTTTTAAAAATTTTTATTAATTAATGTATTAAAAAATTATTATTAAAAAATTATAAATTTTAAAATTAATAAAAAATATTAATTTTATTATTTTAATTAAAAAAATTTACGATATCTTAATTAAACATTTAATATCTTGATGCTACAAGCTATCAAGTTTGATCAATATTTAAGAGTTGAAATTCTTAAAAATTATATAAGTAATATTATTAAATATTATATAATTTTATTAAAATTTAATATGTTAATTGAAAACATCTATTGTAATGAGCAGATTGAGAGATTTTTCAAAAAATTTAATTTAATTAAAACTGTTATAAAATTTTGATAATTGATACCAAAAAAAATTAATAAAAAATAAGTAATGAATTTTTAATTTATAAATAAAAAAATTACATATATTATTTTATCTCCATTTATTTAAGGTTTCATAAAATTTTATTCTTTATTGAAAGTTAAAATAATAAAATTAACTTTTTTTTGTTTAATTTTAGAGTTATTCTAAATATACCTCAAAAAATTTTTCTACACTCACTTTTTTTTAAAAATTTTTCTTTAAATAAAATTACTTATTAACCTTTTTATTTTAATTTTAAAGTTTTTAGATATATATTTCTTGTAAGTTATATAATTTACCGAATATACATTTTTGTATGTTATATAATTTATTGAATTTTTATATCCAATAAATTAAAAAAATTAGATTTAATTTAAAAAAATAGAGAGAAAATAGCTTATATAAATTTTTAAGTTTTCATTTATGCAAATTCAGAATCTTTTAAAAAGTTAGGATAAGCAATTTCGAAGGCTTTTAGGAGCTTTCGAATTTGCAAAACAAAAAAATCTTAAAAGCTTTTAAATTTGTAAATTAGAAAGCTTAAAAATAGAAGGGGGGTGAAGAGCAAGGAGAAAAGGTAATTAATTAATTTTATTTAAAATGATTTTGAAAAGCAAAAAAGGATATCGAGAGAAAAAGTAGGGTGTATTTAGAATTTTTTTAAATTTTAAACTTTTTAATTTTTTTAATAATAATTTTTTCATTAAATTAATTAATAAAAAATTTTAATAAAATTTTTTATAGTTTTTTTTTCAAATTTTTAATATTTAACTCTCAAAAAATCAATCTTTAAAAGGTTATATAATTTTTCAAAAATCTATTTCTAATAAATTATATTAATAAGAGGTGTGAAAAGCAAAAGCACATTTAAAAACTCTTTAAAATAAATGTGAAGAGCAAAAATAGAGATATATTTAGAAGTTCCTTCTTTTTAAAAACAAATGATGGTTAAATTTCAAACTTGCCCTCTACTCACGATAATTGCCAAATTTACTATTATAAAATATATGCTACTATATCAATAATAACGAATTTAGAAGAAGACACAAAATAAAATTAGGAATTCAATAACTATTAGAAATTCAATTTGATTATATTTAAAACTGACTAATGAGAAAAAATAATTAAATTAAGGAAAGCAAAGGAATATTAAATAGAAATGATTCATTAATTATGACAATTATATTGAAGGCATAATAATATATGATTAACAAATCAAAAGAAACATAGAGGAAAGAGGAAGTAAATGACATAGTAAGAGAATCAATTTTGCATATTAATATAACCAAATAATACGACAAAATATTGAGATATACCCTTTAGATTAAAATATAAAACCTTAGTGGTAATTTTTTTATTAAAAAATATAAAATTTTTTTAAAGTAAAACAATATATAGCACAAGAACAATATAAAAGCAAAATTGGGGATCACTCCCAATTCAACTAGATCATCCGATTGGAAGGAATTAATAAAATTTAGCTTTCGCTATTGGATAAATATGTAAAATGCATATGGCACAAATGATTAAGATATTAATAGATTTTCAAGAGGTTAGAGATTTAAACCGAACCATTCAAATTCAGTTGGAGGGAATTTAATTTTAAAAAGCATTTCTTTTTTATTTTAAATTTTTTCTAAAATCGAGCTAAACCGAACCGTATGCTGCCCTAGTCTCGTGTGGCTTCACATATGTCACAAAAATATCAGAAGAAGAAAGAGAACTTTGTTTTGTTCTTTAGTTCTAGAGCAACTTCTAGAAGCTCCAGCTTTCTGTTAACAATTACAGAGAAACAAATTGCATTTATGCTCTCAGCCACACCAAAGGCCAAATAAGTAAAAACCAGAAAGAGGGTTCAATATAATGCAAAACAGTTGCTTGTCTTTAACAGTGGTAAATGGCAAAATTGTAATCAGAAGACAAAGGTTCCATATCCGAAGTTCCCTTGTTAGTTGTCAGGTAGTATTACATTACCTCAAAGGCTATCACTACATTTTCAACTAATCCAGGCGTTCAGCTAAGGCTGTAATCATCTTGGTGATCTTTTCGTGTACTTTGAGCTCCATCTAGGATGACGGAGCATCAAGCATCAAACCCTGTAGACAGCAGGTGCAGTGTGTTTAGGCCAAATATTAAGCCAACCGGACCAGAGATGCTTTGTGCTTCCATGCCATAGTACAAAAAGTTTCCTATGGCATAGCACAAAAAAGAAAAAATGGAGAAGAGAAATCCAACTTCACTTGTTAATCCCTCCTAGTTTGGTGGATAACATAAACCAACAATAGTGGAATTCCAAGAGTATATGCCGGAAAATGAAGCAATGGATTCATCTCATATGCTTTCATGAGGGCTCTGCAATTCTGTAATAAAAAGGGACAGATTGAAGTAAGAAATAGGTATAAGAGAAAATAAAGGATGCAAGAATGATATCTTGTTTTAAAACTATTGCATTAACAGAAAGGGGGACAGGAAAAAAGGCAAAAGATATTTAGAGCCTTAGAACTTTAGACAATTAGACAATTGTAGTTGCCAGATTTAAAAGATTCACTTAAGGCCATCCAAAAATCATTTCATCTTATTTCCCGGATTAATTTGAACATAATGTATCTAGTGGACTAGAATATTTAAATGCTTAGCCAACTAAATCATTGACTGCAATGTTTCAAATTATAGAATGAAACAACTAATACCGAGAATTGCCACTATATTTGTAGAAAAGGCATCCATGTTTATGTGATTCATTCCCACAAATTTTTATAAGACGGGTAACTCAACATCCGCTTTGTTCCAAATAGACTGATAGGAGCTAGATTTACCTTAAAATGCTTCCAAAAGATTGCCAGGCAAAGAATCAAAAGGATTGACCGTATCCAATTCCCACCAAAATGAAACTTTGATCTTCTACTGCCTCGGGAATCATACCTAAGAGATCTTTTATTCAGTCTACTGTAGTCATCTTCTTTCTTTCCTGAAATTGATAGAAACTTATCTCTATAGACAGCTCTCTCAGCTGCTAGAGCTCCTGTGAAGAAAATAGCTGGTAAAACCACAAAGATGAGATGAGGAAGAACAACTACCATGATATCAGGAGATCCAATATAATCAAGATTTTTCTTATTATTGGAGGATTTCACTACCCAGCCCATGTATGTCATGTATCCCCTATCTCCACCATCAGTAAAAACTTGTGCAGCGAACCAGGGAAATAAAATCAGGTAGAATAAGTATCCCAGAAAACCAAACCATGCGAAGGGAACCCTGCAGAGCTCTTGCAAAACCCATCCTATACCATTTATGAGGCTTTTTCCATTGAGAGAATTCTTGTGAGTGTATCGTTTCCTTGAGAAAAAGAGAAAAGCTCTTGGGATAAGAAGAAGCAAGAGTAGAAAGTACATAGCCAACCAAAGAATTGGGTAATACAAGGCTGCCCATTGACAACCCATAACAAAAAACTCCTTCCAAGTCCACAGTACCTTAGCATGAAGTCCATTTATAGAAAATGGTCTAAGTTCAGTCATAGTTGTTCGGCCCATGACATCAGTTGCTTCTATTTGCAGCCAGAATCTATCTGCAGAAGAATCTTCAAATGCTTTATAATTCCAAGGAACAGTATAAAGATCTCCCCTGGAGGATGTATCTACATGCTTGGTCATTGGCACCTCCATAACAGTATCAAGGTTTCCATATCTCGAATCATAGATTTTAGCCACAACTGATACGATTGGAGAAACAGAAAACACAAGAGCTCTCACTGTCTCATAAGAGGAAGGGAGCATATGCTCACATTCATATTCATGGTGTGAAGAAGATTTTGACATGAAACGTGAGTCAAGTGGAAATGTGGGTAATATAATAGTCTTTTTGGACCCAGACATAAAATCAATATCAGCAAATGAAACATGACCTCTATCAATGGCCAAGATTCGCATGGCTCTACTCTTCCTCCAGTCACCCATCTCCCATTCCCAAAATTCTTCAACTGGTGGGGCTCCAAATGAACAATTCTTAGTGCCTTCAGAAGGTATTTGATGTACATTAAACTGGAAAAACTTCTGTGAAGATAAAAAAAGATGACTTGACAAGTGGTGCCTCTTTAAGTTTTTTCCAAAACTTGTATGAAGATGCCCACATACATAAGCTGAAAGGGAATGCTTGAGGAAAATATCTTTCAGGGTCTTCCCAGATTGAGAGGATGCTGAAAATGAAAGAGGGAAATGCCCAAAAGATATCTTGCTCACTGGTTTAGGTGAATGAGAATCCCATTGTGATAGCTCCAAGTCTATTTCAGTCAACAGTTGGTCAGTTGGATGCCCAAAAAGATTAGTTGGGCCTCGTAAACCAACAGACATTGTGCTGTCCAACCCCACAAACAGATATTTCTGCTCACCAGCCTGTTGATCATACAAACCAATAAGATAAATAACTAAAAAATTTCCTATGATTAAAATATAAAGAATGGACAAACAAGCATTGTGCCTATGGCTAAGAATTTATAATTGAAGTTTCCAATCTGGTAAGAGATTTTGAACCCATGATCATTCATCATTTTGCATCATGAGAAATATAAAGTGCAAAATTAGAGTTCCTTGCACTTTCCTCATGCATGTATTTACTTATCTGCAGATAAGTGGAGCAAAACACAGCAAGCACTGGACCGCAGCAAATATTTGCATAATGTGAAAGCCAGCAATAGTAATATTTGCATGAATTTGAAATTTAACCACTAATATCGAAAGATAACTACAGGCTGCACACACATCTGAATAAATTTTCAGAAACAGGAGTTAATGGAAACAATGGGGCCTTCTATGTTTCCGGTTAAAATCTACCATTCTGTTTCCAGCTAAAACCATAAACCATAGATAAATGAGAGAGAGGGAGAGAGCATGTGACCTGAAGAGTGACACTATTTACATGTCCACTCCTTCCAAATTGCCCATTGATACTATACTTTGAGTAGAAATCAAACGAACCACCAACCACAGGTACACCAAAATTATCATGATTACCTCTAAGATCATAGAAGATGTTCTTATCAAGTCCAGTCCTTTGGACAACATCATCCATTACATTCTTGTATTCCATCCATTCCTCTTCATTCTGCTTCATTACTAACAAATCCTTGCTTTTCCCATCTGGTGATAGAGGACATTATTTAAGATGAATCACCCACTATGATAATAAAGGTGGTGCAGAACACAATAATGTTACACACCAAACAACACATACAATGGAATCTAGTCTTATGTACCAAGTTAATGATGCCACAAGTCATAATCTTGATGAATGCAGGAACAAGAGCTACTGCCAGTCAAGGCAGAGGTTCATAAATTTACCATTCTAAACACCTGGGATGCATTTGTGACCTAAAGTTGTTACATTAGCAAGATATTATGAGAATAGACAAAAGGGACTTCAAAAAGCTGGAACAGGTTTGAGCTTAAAGGGTCAAGAAATGCCTACACTATCCAAATTCAAGGCTCTGTGTCCTTTTGTTACCCAATTCCCGTGGTAAAAAACAATAGAAACCAAACTAGTACTTTCAAAATGAAGTAAATACAGATGCCCTTTTTTTTTTTTTTTTTGTTTTTGGAAGTATCACATAGTTTCTTTAAATGGGTAAAAATAGAATTATTTACCACTGATAGCCTGAGGATCTTCTTCTGCCCTCATGTTTTCACTCAAGATGAGAAGATGACAATAAAATGCAAGCAGATATATATAAGAAGCACACTAGAGCGCAGACCATTAATTGTGGCACATTGTTATGCCTAAACTATTGCCTTAATAGCATCAGCATTTATCAGGAGGAATATTATAAACAGGTCGGAAGCCCATAGAAGCACATAAATTTCTAAACTGAAACTTTTTAAGTAGCTGGAAAATTCAGAACAGTTTCCAGTTCAATCAAGCTACCACCTAAATTTCCAAGCACAAAATACATTAACAGGCTCTTTACCATGGTACAAAGGCCATCAAATTTACAGATTAATATTTTTAACGTGAAAATCCATAAAAATTCAATTGTAAACCAAATTTCTTAAGAATAACGTGTATATCATTTCCTTCCATTTCACGCTAAAACTCAACTAAAAAAACGAAAACTTTCCACACAAACGACAAATTCAACACAAACCCAGGATGCAGGATCATGATTTCTCATAAAAGAAATGATGAAACATGAAAATCTCCAAATACCCATCAAGCTAAAATGATCAAAGTTGAAAGAACATAAATTTAGACCTGTGAGATCACCAGTGATGAGGACAAGAGAAGGGTTGATCATGGAAAGAGCAGGAGGCACAAGGTTCTTAAAGTCAATGGCTCTGTCAGGATGGTGAACACTGAAATGGAGATCAGAGAGCTGAACCACCCATACCACTGATTCTGGGCCATCTTTTAAGTCTATGACTGTTCTATGTGAAGAAAATGAGGGTGTGCGATCTTCTTCTTGAGCACAATATATGGGTACTTTCAGGCATAACAAAAACGGTAGGAGAATCAAAACAAGGATGCCCATGTTCCCAACCATCACTTTCTTCCGTCTCTAAAAGGTGGCTTTGGTTTCGATTGGACCTTAGGACCGTTTGGTTCTCTCTTCAATGAACTAGTTTTATATGGCTGTCCGCTGGCAACATCGTTTGTCAAAACAGATGACTAACTAAGGTACATTAAAATTATAAATAAATAAATAAAATAAAACTTTTTAATGAAATAAAATTGGTATGGTTGGAATTTAGGTAAAGGTGCTCCGGGCTAAGTCGGGTCGGTCTGCGAATGATATTTTAAAAATTTTAGATAAGGTTTAACTGGGTTCGGTCAACCCATTTAATTTTGTATAAATTTTTTAAAATTTGTAAAATTTTAAATATATTTTAAAATTAAAATTAATAAAAAATTAACTTTTATTAATAAAATAAAATTTTAACTTTAACTTAAATTTTTTTTATTTGATTAATTATTTGGAATGATATATAAATTATAATAAAATATTAATATGATATTTAAATTTAAAAAATTTTAATATAATACTTTAAACAAATAAATAATTTTTTAAATATTATATTAAAAAAATTTTAAATCCAAATATTTCTCTAAACATTTTATTATAAATAAGAAATAAACTTAAAATTAACCCAAATTTTTTAATATCTCACGAACTGACGGCAATATCAAAACAAAAACCGGTAACCCATCGCTTATTCCTGGGTTTGATAGTCGACCCGGGACCCGAATCCATGCTAGCCCCAAAGAAAATATGTTGTCCATTTGGATCGATCAAAATGGCTATGGTTTCTAGTTTTTCTGCCGAAAGGCTGACTGGTCTCTCCCTTCTCTCTGCTAACAAACTGCAAAGTCTGAATGTTTATAGAGATTGAAGGTTTGGGTTTCAAATTAATTTCGTTTTGGTTTCCTTTACTCAGTTGAATTTCTATTATTAATTATGCAGTCATTTCTAATATTACAAATTCAGTATTTTTCTTTCTCCTTCTCATGCAATTTCAACTTATAGGGAATCTTAATAACGCCCATAATCTCCCAAGTATTTTTGAGAACAGTGTTTCATCTGAAGATAAAGGAGGAACACAGATTTTTGGCATTTTATTGTTTTTTTCCTATTACATGCAAGAGATGAGGGGAATTAATGATAAGTGTTTGATAACTGTTAGAAGAAGGTCTTCATTTTCTATCTCTTCTGAGAGTGTGTTCTTAATTGGTGATTGTTTGTCTTTGAATTCGTTTTACAATAAATCTTAGTCATGGATGCCCATCATTCTACCGATGGAAGTAGTTTGTATTTTGGGTTCACTGTAATAAGTTGATATGGTATTGATTTTAGGATTCTTTTGCTATGCGTCTTGAGCACTTGGTCATGCCTTTTATTCAGACCGGCCAAGGATATCTGAACTATGTTTTGTGCCGACGAAAATGTAGTAGTGATAGATAACGTGTTGTTAGTGACAGAATTCTATGAATTTGAGTGATTAGCGATCACCTTTGAATGTAAACTCTTATGTGTTATCTTTTTCTTTCCTAGATTAAAACACATTTTGGTATTAGCGAATGGTGACCTACTCACATTCCTAAAGCAATACATTGCACTTGGTAGTGTTTGATAACTGTTGGAAGAAGGTCTTCATTTTCTATCTCTTCTGAGAGTGTGTTCTTAATTGGTGATTGTTTGTCTTTGAATTCGTTTTACAATAAATCTTAGTCATGGATGCCCATCATTCTACCGATGGAAGTAGTTTGTATTTTGGGTTCACTGTAATCAGTTGATATGGTCTTGATTTTAGGATTCTTTTGCTATGCGTCTTGAGCACTTGGTCATGCCTTTTTTTAAGACCAGCCAAGGTTATCTGAACTCTGTTTTGTGCCGACAAAAATGTAGTAGTGATAGATAACGTGTTGTTAGTGACAGAATTCTATGAATTTGAGTGATTAGTGATCACCTTTGAATGTAAAATCTCATGTGTTAGCTTTTTCTTTCCTAGATTAAAACACATTTTGGTATTAGTGAATGGCGACCTATTCACATTCCTAAAGCAATACATTGCATTTTTGTTTCTTTATTGTATGATTATGGTGACAACTTTGAATTTCCAGAATGACTATATTTTGTTTCCTGATTTTGCTCCTTTTATCTGACTTGTGTTAGAATGCTCCCCTGTAATTATGTAATTGCTTTTCTTTTATCTTGGCTTGCTTTTGATTTTATTATGCATCACTTTTTATCCTGTCAGTTTGAATAACTCAGTATTTCTGTCTTTATTTTGACTGCCCATTAATTCCTAATAATTCAAACTTGCCACCTGTAGAGACAAGTTTTTCATAAGTAGGATTTAGTTGGTCCAATGATGCATAACATTAAACATTTGGTCAGACATTGTGATCTCTCTGCAGCATTGTTAATTTTGAACAAGCACTAAATTTTTCGCATTTGTCAAAATTGGACATTTGCACTTAACTGCAGAAAAATATTTGATGTTTAATGCTTTGACACACTGACTTTATGGTTTCTATTTGCAGTTTATGGCCTGTCAAGTGGGAAGAATGTATCTGCAGGCTGGTTTGTCAATATCGGAGAATGAAGTCCTTGAAAGTTCATGTCTGACCCTTGGAACTTGTGCAATCCAGAGGTGGAGCAGTGAGCCTAGTTTAAGTAGACAATCTTCAAAGATTAGCTTTAAGTCATTATCTTTTCCCAGAAAGAGGTATACTTTGAATTTTTTTTTTTAAATTTTTAGCTGCTGATGTTGTTATATTGTCAGAAAGGCCATGATCATGAAGGATTCTGTTAATAAGACTACTTAGAGCAAGATTTCTCCGTGTGACATTACATTGTTGTTAACTGTTAGCTGATGTGCTGATTTTTCCTTGGTTATTTGAATAATTGTTAGATGCCCTTTTGAACAAGTCATTTGTTTTTCTCATCTTGAAACAGTTTTTCAACAAGAAGACGTGGTTGGAAAATAGCCTTTGCCTTGGACACTGGTGGAGTTTCTGGAAATGGTGGAGAAGATAGTCTCAACAGTGACGGCCCTAATCTTGGTGGTACTCGACTGGGCAGGATAGTGAGTGCAGGTGGCAGACAGTTATTAGAGAAGCTGAACTCAGCAAGAAAGAACTTCCCCATGAAGATATTTCTTGTTCTCTTGGGCTTCTACACCGCAAATGCATTGGCAACTATTCTGGGCCAAACAGGTGATTGGGATGTATTAGTTGCAGGGGTTGTTGTTGCTGCCATTGAGGGGATTGGAATGCTTATGTACAGAAAGCCCCCTTCTTTAAGAATTGGAAGATTGCAGTCGTTTGTGGCAATGATTAACTATTGGAAAGCTGGTGTGTGCTTAGGTCTTTTTGTGGATGCTTTTAAATTAGGTAGTTAACATGAACTTCCATATGTTCCTCTTATAGGGTTGGGGCTTGTTTTTCAATGTATTCTGAATCTCTTATAATAGCCCTGGTTCCATCGATTGATGTTCAACTAGGTGAGAAATGTATCATAACCGTTGTCAATGAAATTTACAAAGAAAATTTTTTATTATCTTCTTTTTCCCTGCTGGGCCAAGAACCTGTGCCGTTCTTCCCAGCCTCATCATCCCTCTTTTGCCGTTTCTCCATTTCTTTTTTTATCCCTTGAAAGGAAATTTTGGTGATTGTGGTTGAATTGCAGCAGATAGATTCAATAAATCAAGTTTCTGTTGTTACTTTGTTTTTTATAGAGAGGTTATATTGTTATCATATTTTTGTATGGATGTTCTATTGCCCATTGACTTGTCATAGACATTGAAGACGTAGAAAATGTAGTTTCCATCAATGACGTATTTAAATGTTGCCAAAAAAATTGATGAATGGACATTTGGACTCGAGAAACTTTCCCAATGAAAACGTTAAAGTAATGTCATAGCAATCTTTGGAGGTCTGCTTTAAGGGGATGTTACTGTGAGCTGAAGAGAGGTTTGGCATTGGGTTCAATCTTACAGTCTTTCTGCAATTTGATAGCATGATTTTAGTCTTGCTTAACACCGGATATCTGTGTGTTTTCGCAGGGTGAATTGAAGAGGCAGATAATGGAAAGAAAACTGTATTGGCACTATCCTTTTTCTTAACATTTTCTTTTTGTTTTTGGCTCAAATTTCCTTGATATGATGTTGTGCTCTGCACTTGTATCAACAGGTGAGAATGCATTGTCCACACAAGTACACGCGTCGATGATAACAGGCAACTTCTAAGGCATTGCAGCTAAAAATTAGGCAATCACTTAGCATTTTCACCAGCCAGCCGCAAAATTTCTGCTAAACCTGTTGATAAGTAGTTTAACCACATACACAGATCAAGTCATTTATACACCCAAGAAAGCTCTCCCTTTTTTCAACTTTGCCCCATGAAGGAGAGAAATCGGAATGTCTTGTCGAAAATTCAATTACTAACATTTACATCCGTTTTCCTGATGTTTGTGGTTCAACGTCATAGTGCCTTTCCTACAAAGGAAATCCTGCCAATTTTTGGACAGAAATCACCAATATTAACTTCTATCTTGCTTGTTATTTCATATTTTTAGATTTGCACACAATGCACTGAGATGCTATACTTGACAACCAAGGGAAGCAGACTTTGTGAGCGTAGAAAATTAAATCATGTAGCCATTTTCTTCAACCTGGGACGCAGCTAGCGCTGAACTTCCAGCAATTGTTCCAGCATTACCAGGCTGATGCTCAACTATTAGTTGCATTATCTAACACGTCACCACGAATATTGTTATCAGTTTGTTCGAGTTGAACATCATTACCAAGCTGATGCTCCTTATCAGTTGAATCATCTAACACCTTATCATGAGTACCATTATCAGTTTGTTCAAGTTGAACATCAATATCAAGTTCAGTTTCCACTGCAATATGTAACAAAAAAAATAAAACCACGAAGCTCATTACTTTCAATTCTTAGAAGTACATAACATCACACAAACTGAAGCAAAGTAATGCAAGTCCATCCCCACCCTCTAAAATTAACCTGAGACAAAGATTTTCTACTTGAAATTCAGAACTTTTAAATTCAATTCACTAGGAAACTACAATGTCAAAGTAAGGTAGGTTCAATCACTCAACAGTGAATTTTTCCCCTTCTTTCTGATACCGTGCAGTGAAGTTGGTTATATAGTGACAAACATCCATCTGTCAGATCATATATACAAAAAAAAAAAAAAAAAATAGGCAGAAACTCGAGCTTTTTTTTCTCATAATCTTTTCCATAATCACATATATATCAGGTCACCAAAGTGAAAACTGTAAAAGAAGGAACTTTTAACATTAAAAGCCCACAATGTTGATCTTTAGTAAGACAAACCCATTTCATGATTCTAAACACAAATTCAATATCAATATTCAGCTTTGGGTTTTAAATTTTATTCTAGAGAACTTACACCCACTTACAAAATTCAATATTTACTAGCATGATACTCGCCTGCTGCGGCAGGTCAAAAAATTTTTTGTTATTTTTATTTATTTGATTTTTTATTGTAAATTTTACTTAATTAAACAAAAAAGTGAAAGGTTAAAAAAATTAAATGAAATTAATATATGAATATTTTGATTAGTGTTCTTTTTCTTACAAATTTTATTTAATTAAAAAATAAAAAGAATAAAATAAAAAAAGTGAAAAGAATAAAATTGATAAAAAAAAGAAAAATAACAAATCAAAAATAAAAGTACCACATGAACACCTCAATGAGCATAAAATATTAATTTTTAAATTTATATATCATATACTAATTTTATTAATATAATATATAATAAATTGAAAATAAAACATATATATTATATATCAAAATAAATCAGGTTAATGCATTCTAAATATGCTCCTGCTCTTATCTAGTTTCTTAAAAAAATTCGACCCATCCCAATGACATCTTGATTTAAAAAAAAAAATCTCCTATGAGATCTGAATGTATTGAAACTTGTTGAATTGATACTTTTTGTTGTATAATTTATTTAATTAAAAAATAAAAAAAGTAAAAAGAAAAAGTCAAATGGAGATTTATGTTAACACTTTTGTTGGCTTTATTTTTTCACAAAATTATTATAATTTAGAAATTTTAAAATAAAAAAGAAAATAGGTGTACAACATAACATCCCAATTGAGTTTAAAACGTTAATCTATTAAATTAAGTTATAAAATAATAACTTTATTAATAAAAAATAGAGAAAAAAAAAACAATAAAGAAGAAAAATAAAAAATACATAGAGAAAAAAGAAAAAGAAGGAAAAAGAAAGATCATGGACGTGTCATGTGAACATCTAAATTGAGTGTAAAATGTTAATATTTTAAATTAAAGTATAAAATAATATTTTTATTAATATAATACATATATATATTTAAAATTAAATAAATAATAAAATATATACTTTTGTATATACCATGGGATTATTTGGGGCAGAGTATTTTAAATTTATTTATGATTCATCCTCGCTTTCTTAAATAAAAAACCAATCCAACTTAACTTATACCAATTTTTTACATTAATGCCATATAAAATTGAGATAGATGGAAATTTATCAAACACTAATTATTTTGTTCTCCCTATCAACCGATTTATTTTATTGTAAATTTTGTCAATTCAAAAACACAAAAAAAAAGGAATAAACAAATGAGATTACTACATGAACACCTCTATTAACATTATTTTTTTATAAAAATTTTCTATAAAAACAAAAATTAAAAATAAAAAAAAACTATACTATTGGATCGAGTATGATTGAAATCCATTGAATGTGAATTGTTTCCCATCTCTATTTATTGGCTCATTTTGTTATAAAATTTATTTAATTAAAAATTAAAAAAATAATAAAAATCAAATTAGAGTGTTACGTCGATAACTTTGTTATTATTTCACAAAATTTATGCCACATCAACATTATGAATGGGGATCAAACAAAAGTCAAAATTAATAAAATTTATATAATAGATGGATGTATTGATTTAATTATATATAAATTTAAATAATAAATAATAATTTTATTAATGTTATACATATAGAAATATAAAATTAAATAAATATTTAAAAATATGATTTTATATACACTTGAGACAAAATGAAACACCATAAACCTACCTGCAACTTGATCTCAATTTGAAAAAAATGAAAAAACTTGATTTTATCTCAAAATTTTTAAAAACTTGCACATATTGGATTTTGGGCAAATCAAAATATATAAAATATTTGTTGTTTTATCATCCTCACATCTATTAAAGTATTAAATAATAATTTTATTAATATAATATATATAAATAAAATTAAAATAAACAACAAAATATATATTTATATATGCTTGAATGGAGAGAAACACGTTAAACTTGCATTTGAATCAAGCTTGATATTTGAAAAAAAATCTTGACCTGATCTCAAATTAAGAAAAAAGCACCTATCGGATCAATATTCATCAAATACAAACCTAAAACATAAAAAAGAAAGAAAAAAAATTATTCTTTTTAATCAATAATATCAAATAAGTCCCATTCATAAAACACTGAAAAATATAAAAATATTGATAAATATTAAAATAAAAAAAGAAAATGCATTGAAACGTTAAGCAACACCTAATAATATCTCCGTACATATGCAAAATATAAAGTATAGACAAATAATGATAAAATAAGAAAAAAAAGTCAAATGAGAATGATACATGCACTTATTATATTAAGGCATTAAATAATAATTTTATTTATATAATATAAAATTAAATGAATAAAAGAATATATTTTATATCATGGATTTTAAAAAAAATAATAAAAACTCAAAAAAAAGAAACAAAAATAAAATCCCAATGTGATGACAACACTTGTGTAATATCTTTTTAAAAAGTTATCAAATAAAAAAGAAAAAATTAAAAAATATTTTTAATAAATAACATCAAATGGACCTCATTTAAAAAAAATTAAATTTATTAAATATTTTAAAAAATAAAGAAAATGTAAATATATATAAAAAAAAAGAAAGCAAATAACTTGACATGTGATATACCTTTGATGTCAAATAGATCACACATAAAATAATTTAAAATCATTAAAATATTTAATAAATATATAAAAAATAATAGTGTAAAAAAAAAAAAAGACAAACACATCTCATACTTTTAGTATCAAATGTGTGTTATATAAAAAAAATTTTATATCATTAAAAAATATTTATAAAAAAATTTAAAAAAAAAAAAAGAAAAAAAGATTGGTATAAAGTGGGTCACACCTTCAAAAATTTTTAACAAAAAATATTTATTACATATAAAATATATAAAAAATAAAAAAATTTTAACAAGCAAAAAAAGTTAAAATATCATACCTTGGTCTCCACGAATAAGCTTAGGAAGAGACATTTTTGTTTAGCTAATAACAAAATTGAAAGAAAACAAAAAAAAAAAGCTTTTTTTTTTTTTTTTCAGGTGGTTACATGCCACATTTAAAAAGATTTGACAATTGGTTTGTCGACTTTCTAGAGGATAAGGATTTTTAATGGTTTTAATTGCTGGTGAGAAAATTCATCTATGATTGTTCATAGATATTTTAACCAATTTATGTGGGTCCCCAATAAAATTTATACCTAAAATGTTTATAATTTTTTACCTTTCTTTTCGATTCTCTCTCCTTAAGGTCTAAGGCTCTTTTACATCGGTGTCGACAACTAGAGCCAATGACCTTATGACTTGGTTGAATTTAGTACAAGAGGCAAGATTGAGCTCCCCCACAAATTTAGTTGAAAGTGCTATATTTGGCCCCTATTCAACTCAGCTACAACAAAATAGTTATCCAAATTAGTCATCCAATATACGTGGCATGTATTTGGTCTAAAACATGGCACAATGTATGAAGAATACAATTTTATGAAAGAAAAAGCAAACAAAAAAAAGGCAAAAACAATATCATGAAGAGCAACCTCATGTCAATGATAAAAACCAACAATATGATTTAATGATGGATTACTTACTATAAGTAATATACCAAGAAATACAATAGAAAAAAACAAATAAATGTTCCTAATGTGGCTCCACTTACTACATTAAGGACCTCTTATTTAAAATGGTAAGAATACAAGGGTTATAACCAATTGACAGCTGATGACATGAACAGTTTATAGTTGCTAAAGCAAGATGATAGACAGAGAGATGGAGAGGAGAGGAAGAAGTTTATCAAATGTGCAAGCCGTGAAGATACAAAGCATTAACAGCTAACTTGGACCACCAGAAAGCATCCGTGTTTCAAACAATGAAATTAAAATGCAAGATTCAACAACAATAAGGGCACTGGGGGTTTATATTTTATATCTCTAAGTGAGATCTAGAAAAAAAAAAAAGGTGAAAAAGTTACAGATGTGCAATGTACAATGATACATAGAGTTCACAGCTGATCTTAGATAACATAAACATCTGTCTCAAACAATCAAAATGTAATACAGGGTTCGATAACAAAAGCTAGTTAATGTCTAGGTTATGTAAAGTAAAAACAAAGCTAATATTTATTCTAGAAAACAACCTAAGCATTCTTAAGAGATCAACGAAATC